GTGTGTGTGGGGTATACACATACTTATATTCCATACAAAAACCTGCTTCAAAGGTTTGTGGGAAAATACATTTGAAAGAGAATGGAACTTTCTTGAAGCAGTGGAGACGTGTTGGACAGCTAACTGCAACTGCAGCGGTTCAAACCCCCCAGCCTCGCCAATGGGAGCAGGAAGAGGCTATCTGCTACGGTTGGGTTGCAGCTGCAGAAATCTTACATGGGGTTGCTATGGGCCAGAGTGGGCTCGGTATCGGTGAGTTTGTTTGATTTATACACATACACACCTACAGAAGCCTCAAAGGGTCACATCACCTCCTTTTTCCTGAGGAGCAGCTGGTGGGTTTGAACTGCCGACCTTGCCGTGAGCAGCCCAGCGCCGAACCCACAGAGCTAAGCAGAGCAGATTCAACTCATTTTAAAAGTGGAGGAAATGCATGCTCAGAGAGGTGAGATAACAAGACACCCTCTCCACACTCCCTGCCAGATAAGATGAGACCGATCTTTCCTCAAACCCACACCAGACTCATGGTCATTGGGTCTGTCCCCACTCGTCATGACCCTCTGGGACTAGGCAGGCCTGTCCCAGTGAGCTTCCAAGGCTGCACATCCTACTGGGGCAAAAGGCCTCCTCTTTCCCCTGAGAAGTGGCTGTTGGATTCGAACTGTTGACCTTTGGGTGAGCAGTCCAGGCTTAACCCACTGGGCCACTAGGGCTCCTTCTTCTGAAGCAGATAGGGACGATGCTAATGACAGTGTTAACTGGGGTCCCTGGTGGCACAGGCAGGTAAGCAGGTGCCCAGCTGCTACCCGGGAGCTCGGAGGGTGGAACCCCCATCAGCCTGCAGGAGAAAGCCTTGGGTATCTGCTTCCACAAAGACAGCTCTCCTCTGGGGCAGCTCTCCTCTGTCATGTGGGGTGGCAAAGGGTGGGCAACGAGGACACCAGCAGCAGCAGTAGGAGTCTCCAGCTGGCACAAGTAAAGGATGGAAGTTCCGGTCTGCCCAGGCGCGCCTGGAGGTCGTGTTCTAAAGCCAGCACTGCCTTGGCCAAGCAGGGTCCAGCTACCCTGTGACACACATGGCGTCCACGAGGGTCCTGGTGGGCATCAGGAAGCGAGGAGACTCACAGTGACCCTGCAGGACAGAGCAGTCGTGACAGGAGCCGTCTGCCTCGTGAGTCCAGATCAGCTCGTGAGTCCAGATCAGCTCAAGAGACATGCAGGAACGCAGTTAGGAAAGTGATACTGGGCCCCTGAGGAGGCCTCGGCCCCTGGGGGGCTGGGGGACGGGGCACAGTGCTCAGGGCAGAGGGAACCTGGCTGCTGCTTCGGATACAGTGCTGGCAGGGGAAGGGGAAGCACCTTTCCCGCCCCAGGGGAGGAAATCGTTCTGAAAACATCCTGTAGAGGTGGACTGGCTCTGCTTCCCGGGCTGGCTGGGGGTCACTGCTGACGCTGTGACCTAGAGGGCCAGGGGTCCCAACAAGGAAGGGCTTTGAGCCAGTGGGCCAATGGGTGGACGCGCCCTCCCCGGCCAGGCCCATGGGCCAAAAGTCTGCTCTTCCTCATCTGCCACCCAGCATTCCCCTCTGGCCAGGTGCTCAAGATCTCCCGCAGAAGGGCGCCCCTCGGAGCGCTGGGTGTTGGAGGAGGTGCCATACCTGCTGGTTCTGGCGGCTCTCTCCTCTCCCACAAAGGGACCCCCATCGGAAGGGCCAACCACCGTTCTGCAAGGCCCGCCTTCCTCCTGCGAGGCCACCCGTAGGCCTGAGGCTCAGGGTCCGCTAGCCACTGGCCACTCTGACTGCGTTGTTCCCATAAAGGACAAAGTGCCGTCGCTGCTGCCATTCTTTGTCCAATCAGGACGTCAAAGACAGGTCGGGGACAGGGGGTGGTGGTGCCGCGGGGGTCTTTGGGAAGGAGATTCCCTCTGGGGATCCCCCAGCCCGTCATCGGTTTCCTCAGACTTTGTCCCCAACACACAACTTCCAAGCATGGGAGCTTGGCGAGGGGCACACGGGGACTAATACATCCGCCACATCCTGCACCTGTCCCCACCTGCGCAACGCGCGCCCCCGGCAGGAGATGGCAGGAGAGGGAGGGGCGGGGCCGGGGGCTGCGAGGGGCGCGGTCTGATGAAAGAGCAGGGGGAGGGGGACGGTGGGCGGGCGCCGCGGTGGAGACGCGCGATCCCGGACGCAGGTCGC